TTTTTTTTCTTGTTGCCTGTGTGAAGGTGGGATAGAGTTTGTGCACAATTTGGAAGCCTAGCTGTGCTTGCAGGAAGAAATTGCAGCAGCTGCTATCTGCCCACTTGCTGGGGTTCAGCCTTCCTGAGATCACTGGAGCAGGGCTGTAGGGTGCCCTGGGTGTGGACACAATGGGTCACCTCATTTCTCTGGGTGTTCCCCTCCAGAGATATCTCCCAGGGTGGTGGAGCCCCTACACTGGTGGTGTCGGTGGAGCACCCGAGGGGCCTTTCCTTCTCTCATGGATCTGTTCCCTTCCAGTTCCATGCCCAAACCTGTACGTGCAGCTGAACGGCCTGATGCTCACCCTGGACACACCAAGTGTGCTCTGGATAAACCTCTTCTGCCTGGATCTCTGCCGCAGCCTGGAGCAGTTCAAAGCCATCTACAARCTGGAGGACTCAGGAAAGAGGGATGAGCACGTGGATGTCCGGCTGGATGGCTTCAGGCTGAAGGTACCATTCTTTTCCTTCCTTTCTCTGTCTTCTTTGTTCTCTCTCTGGAAGGAACATGAGACCGTGACATAACTGGAATCCAAAACGAGGAAACAAATCTGCTGCTTTCCATCTGTCTRCCACTTGTGTTTGTGTTGTTTGGTTTGTGGGCAGCAAAGCTGGTGCTGAGTCCTCATCCAAGATAAACCTCTGCTATTSCTTTCTAACCCCTTTCCTTGTCATTTCTCTTCCCCCTGCAGCTCAACATCCCCGTGGATAAGAAAGTCACGGACCACCGGGACCGGCCGCAGGCTCTCTGTGTTTGCATGTCGGAGGTGACGGCCACCAACACCCGCCACGCTCCGTCCTGCAGCTGCCAGGACCTGCAGAGCCTCTTCCGTGAATTTGCGGGATCGCAGTTCTTCCACTCCAGCTACGCCGAGTTCCCCCGGGCACGGGACAGATTTGGCCTCCTGCACACTCTGTTCCTGCGCCACGCCTACCAGGTGGATGAGCGGCCACACCAGCGGCCAGGCTTTCCCCAGCTGCCTCACAAAACCTCTGCCTCTGAGGATCTGTGGTCTGTGAATTTCACTGAGCTCTCCCTGGGCTTCGAGGGGGCCGAAAGCTCCAAGGGCAGARCCCTTAGYTTTATTGACCCTTTTCCTCTTTCTRTATGGGCCTGCCTGCCCAAGARGTGGGGGCAAGCTCAGATGTCTAAACGACAGGAGCTGGCCACCTCTGAGGTGAAAATCAAGCCTTCTGCCAGTTTTAGCAACCACTCCAAGAATGAGAACCTTTCCAGAGAACACGGTGTTTGTCAGAGATCAAAGACTGATCAGGATCTGAAGAATATCTACAAGGCTGCAGACACAATGGATGTTTTGGGAGAATCTGACTATGAAGTTGATGATGGAGTTGACAGTAAAGAGCTGGAAACCTCTGCTGATATCCACGTGCTCATGTCCTCCTCTGTCCATGTCAAAGTTCGGCTCAACCACTACCAGTACTTGGTGCTGCTCAGGATGAAGGAAGTTCTGCAAACTCTACAGGAGCAGCTGGCCCAAGATACCCAGGAAATGACTGGGTCTCCTTTAGATTCCATGTCTGCTTGTGTGGGAGTTATGTTCCACAGTGCTGAGGTGGCCCTGCTCATGAGCCCTGCTCCAGGGTCTGTCCTGGAACCCAGATCTCTGGACTCAGACACAACCAGCCTGATTGAGTCYGAGCTCTCGCCTTCAGACAGCAAGGAGGGGCTGGCAGCTGAAGAGAAGGAGCTGAAATCAGAGAGCAGTTCAGAGAAGGGCTTGGGCAGCACCTCAGAGCTGCCAGTGGACAGCGGGAGCCAGGACACGGGTGCCACTGTCCCCCTGGAGAGGCTCCCGAGATCGGCGAGCGATGGAGCTCTGAGCGCAGCTGCCCGTGGTAAGGGCGCGGAGGAGAAAGGCTTGGTGGAGGAAGCACACGAAGCTGTGGAAGCCCTGGCTGCAGAAACACCAGCAGAGACCAGCAGCCACCCTCAGAGCTCCCCTGCTCTCCCTTCCAGCCCAGCCTCGGACACGCAGCCCTCGGGCAGAGGAGGAGTTGCCCTCAATGGCCAGGCTGAGCTCATCCCGCTGCGGAACATCGAGGTGGAGCTCTCCAGCGCCCTGCACATCACCAAGGACGCCACCAAGGAGGCATTGCACGCCACCATGGACCTCACCAAGGAGGCCATGTCCCTCACCAAGGATGCCCTGAGCCTGAGCCGAGACAAGATGACCTCCACCATGCAGAGGATGCTCTCCCTGCCTCCGGCCAGGTGAGCAGGACGGGCTCCCGGGCTGCAGGAGGGGGAAACAGGGGCAAACTGACCCCCTTCTTTCATTTGGTTTGGATTGGAGATGGGTTAAGTCTTCATCTCTTGGGACTGGTCTGAGGACACTAAAATCTGACTTGCAGGTCGTCAGAGTCCATCCTGCATCCAATTTGAGGCTCAGCTGCCTGCCTTTATCACTGTTTTTTGTTGGTTTTTTTTGCAGGGATTCCATGCCCAAGGCAGAGGAGGGAGCAGTGACCCCAGGCGGGGCGGGCGGGGGCCGGATGCGTTTTTTCTCCATGAAGAGAACCTCATCCCAGCATTCCTTTGACACCACATCCGTGGATGGCAGCGGCCCYGAGGACGGGCTGTCCGTGGACAGCGACGGCAGCGATGGCTTYGTGATGCTCACAGACTCTGGTAAAACCCTTGGCTTCTCCTCTCCCCACCCTCATCTCACAGTGGTGAGCAGTTCTGTGCCAGCCTATCCATGCTGTGTCCCTGTGGAATCACTTCTGTTGCTCCTTGGTTCTGAAGGTGTTAAGGGGTTCCCTCACAGTGCTCTCACCGGTGCCTTTTCTTTGAGATCAGCAGGGTAAATGTGACCCTGCACATCCCAGTGGTGTCCTGAGGGCTGCAGGGGCTGGGATGTGCTGGTGGAGGGTGGTACAGGGCATTTAGGAAGGGTTTAGGAAGGGCTGGTTGGATATAGGGTACTCTGGACATCTTTTCACTTCAACCCTGTGTTGCTAAAACTCATCTGAGGAGCTGGAGAGAGCTCTGCAGAGGATGATACCTCCAGGGAGGCCAGARATTCAGGCAGGTGCTGACATCAGGACTTCTCAAAACCAGAAAAAGAAACGAAATTGAGTTCTTATTGTCACTTCCATTTCAGAACCCAGCCTGGACCCTCTTCCTTCAGGGCAGCTTCCCCAGGCCCACAATGACACGGGCAGCAGAAGCAGCCTGGTGGCAGAGGACGAGGGTGGCGCRTCTCCCGAGGCAAACAGCTCCACATCCCAGAGTGAAGACCCCAGTTTGCAGCTGGTCAGTCCCTGGCACTGTGGTTCTGTCCCTGAGGGGGTCTGCAGTCGAGGTGTTTGCTGTGACCAACGAGCTCTTGGTGGCTGTTTCAGGTGTCTGTCCTCGTGCTGAAGATGAACGATGTGAACTGTGCAATCGAGGTGCAGGGGGATGATTTGTCTGTGGCTCTGCAAGTTATGAGAGTCATTCCAGAGCAGCTCAACAACGTGGGGATGTGGCAGTTTCTGCGTGGCTACGTGGGTAAGGCACTGCTCTGGGACCCAGCTGTGCTGTTAGAACTGGCTTTTATACCAGCCTCCCTCAGGGAATATTCCATTAACTGGGTCCTCAGTGTTTGGGGTGGTTAGGATTGAGCACAGCTCATGTGTGAGGGTTCAGATCTGACACTTGAAAGATGTTTYCTGCAGTCAGGCTTTGTGGTGCCTRGTAATCATTGATGGGGATTTTTAAAATTGCTGCTACGATGCATGAAATGAATTAATAGAGTGAGTAAAGCTGTCTAGGGAAACCCTGAAGTTATTCCTGCTCTGAAAAAAATGCTTTCGGTCTACAGTACTTCCCCTAAATTTGAATTTAAAAAACCCAAACCAAACCTAAAAACACAACCATCCCCCCCCATGCTTCCAAGAAATGTAACACAAACAAAACCAAAAGCAGCTCTGACCTCAAAACTGAAGTGAAAGTGTGAGCAGTTCCCAGATGGTTGATCCTGCCCTCCCCAGTCCTGGCAGTGGCCACGGTGGGGCAAAGGGATGAGGAGAGGTCAGTCAGCTCTGGAGAGTGAGTGGGGCCTTAAATGGTCCGGTTCTGGTGCCAATTCTGTGATGTGGGCTATTAATCCTTTAAATTTGGATTTATCTCATGTGAGGGATGACATGAGACTGAGGTCACCTGGCTGTTTGTGGGGAGAAATGAGCTTTGCAGCATGCCCATTTTGAGCTGGTATCTGATCACTGGTGTCCCGTTGTGCAGTGAGATGTCTCTGCTCCAGCCCTAGGGGATCCAGGTGTGGAGAAGCCCACAAGCCCTGAGCCCATCCAGCCCCATCCCGAGGTGTGCCTGCGCCTGGAGTCGGGGCCGAGCGCGGCCGCTCACTCCCCGCTGGCCGAGCGCAACGGATTCCTGCGGATGCTGCTCCGCAGCCTCTCCACGGAGCTCTGCATGTCCTGCCTCACCAGCCTGGGACCCTTCCTGGAGGATGAGATCATCCCAGAGGTGATCCCCATGGAGATAGAGGTGGTGGATGCCAAAATCACGTTGAAGGTGAGAGATTCTGCCSCAGRGCAGAGCGCCCTTGCAGGATTCCCRATCGCAGGATTGGGAAGGGACGYTGTGGGATTGCTGGGGGCCTCTGTAGAGCTTCTCTTTTCCTGAAACTTTGGTTTTGCTTCCAAAAGCTGCTCTAGGGATGAATGAGGAGCACAAGGGAATTGTATACAATTCCCTGTACACCCTGTACATAAAGCCAGGTGCCCCAGTGAGTCTGGCAGTGCTGCTGGTCAGGAACGCTGCTCCAGAGGAGGCTGTGGGCAAGGAGAGTCCTTTCCAGAGCTGCCACAGCAGYTCATCCCTTCTCTGCTTTGTGTTTTTGCAGGATGACAGCACCCCAGTGTATCCCACCTCCCCTGGGCCTGTCCCCATCACTTTGGCAATGGATCATGTCGTGGTGAGGCGCAAGGATGACGGCATCTTCTATCTCACAGGTCAGCAATATTCTGGTTTTCTTGTCCTTCTGCATCCCCGGACTGTGCTGGAGGAGGCTGGGACTGAAATGTGATGTTTCCTGCTGGGAAGGGTGGGAGCAGTCCCTGCCTGTGTTCCCTGGCGGGATAGTTTGTGCCTGGAACATACACACACACCAGATCCRTTACTGCCYTTTAGTTTCTCYATTTTRAAAGGAGAAAGAGATTTTTGTTTCCCTGTTAAAAAAGAGGGGGGGAAAACAAAAAAAAAGGAAAAAAAAATCAAAGTTACTCTTTYTGTCCTGAGAGCTTTGTTGTGTGAATGTCCACACCTGAGTGGGTTCTGTTGCTTTCCAGCTTCCCAGGGGAAGGACTCACCAAAACAGGAAAAACCTGTGTCAGTCCCTGAGGAGCAGAAGGCCCCAGCAGAGTCTGTCTCAGCAGCCCCAGCAGCAGGAACACGTGGCCTGCAGGTGAGTCACTGCTGCCTGCTGCTGTCTGGACAACAGAGAGCTGGAAATTCTCTTTTGCCTTCCTTGTTTGCAGACATTGGCAGGTGTGGGGAGCTGCAGGAAGGGAGTGCCCCGAGGAGCAGTTGTGCCTCCTCCTATGAGTGTTGTGAGGAGTGAGGGCGCTTTGCCCACCATGAGCTCATTTGTTCCCTTTCAGAATTTGGTTGGGGATTTTTTTCTGATTGTCTCCATCTTCCCCAGTTCCTTATTAGATAAACAGGAATGAAAGGTTCCCACAAAGAGACTTTCTGTCAGTGTGGTTGTGTCACACTGTGTAATACACCTCAAAAGCTGCTTTGGTTTTCCTTGGAGCAGGTCACTGTGTACCTTGAAAACTCCTGCCTTGTTTTCTKCCTGTCTCTTGCAGCTCAAGCAAGTGCCAGAGTTGCAAAGGGAGCTCCAGACCATGAAACTGGCCCTGGCAGAAGCCAACATGGACAAGGCTCGTCTTCTGCAGGAGATCAGGAAATACAACCCCCTGTTCCAGCTCTGACGGTGCCGGCACTGCCGGGGACAGGGGACCAGCACCAGCACCAACGGGGCAGGTTTGGTCTTTTTGCTGCCAAACGGGTCCAACTGCCAGACTGAGACCAGCTGGGACTGCAGAGGACTCTGGACAGGGAGGGAGGGAGGCCTGGCTGGGACAAATGGRAGGAATAAGGAGTTTTCTGTGTTCTGGCCTGGGAGTGCTGCTCTGAGCCAGGGCATGGTCAGCCTRCAAACACCAGGTCACATGTTGGGGCAACACCCYGTGTGTCCTCATCTGTGGGTGGCTYCCAGCCTCCACCTTTTATGGTGACATCTGGAGATGGTCTGTGTTGGGGTTTCTGTSGCTTTCACCCTTCCTTGTTGTGTTTTTGCCCAGTTGTGCTCACCTGGGGCCACAGCAGGAGCAGGGTGGTCACTTCAGCACTTCAGGCAGTGGCAGGACAGGGGTGGCAGGAAGGGTCAGGGCTCTGCTGGGAGAGCAGGGCTGCTTTCACCTGGAAACAGATGGGATTTCCCACTGTGGAGTGAAGGCACACAGTTCACTATTCCCTCAAGAACAGGATCAGGATAGTAAATGAACTTCTTCAGATTTCCACTTTTCCACAAATTTAAATCCACAGATTTACTTTTCCAAGTAATTCTGAGCATAGAGATGGATCCAGCATATGAGACTTAGTCCAGTTCATTCCCACTTTATCCCACAATGTTTGGCTTTATGGGTGCAGAAACATAAAGGAATGAATTCCTTACAAGGCACTGTAAGTTCACTATCAAAGAACAGGGTGAGGGAAGTTGGTTCAGTGTCAGGAGATGACCTGGGTGTTTTTTGGGATGCACCTTGTCTGTGTGCCTGAGTTCCCCAGTGGGGAAGGGGAGCAGCTGTGGGGTTTTCAGCACTGGGTGGAATCTCTCAGCAGGGCTGAGGGGTTACCTGGGGTGGGACACGTTCCAGAACCATCTGCCAGCCCTTTTCCCAAAAGGAAGACACTGGAACACACCTGTGAGCACCACTGGGAACTGCCCAGAGTCCACGAGCAGAAGTTGGATTTTGTTTCACCAAACCTTTGTGCTGCTCCCTCTCCCTGTGGGGAGCAAAAGCTCTGAGAACTGCTTGCCTGAGGTGGAATGTCACGGTATTCCCGCTTTTTCTTCATTAATTGCTTGAAAATGGGAGGTTTCTCTTCTGCTTTTTTTCCAATTTTCATGTTTTGTGTGAGTAGGGGAAGGAATAGGGGAAGGAATAGGGTGCCACGGGTTTGCCCAGCCCTGGTGCCCACCTGCAGGGTCCCACAGCTCCTCCCACGTGTGCAGGCTGAGCACAACTGGAGGCAGATTGTTTACAGCAAATTCCTTGCTCCAGCAGCTTCAGCCAATGGGTTTTGTTGAAGAATTCAAGCATTTCCTTTGCTTTCAAGTCCCAGCAGAAAGGACTGTACTCAAAACCCCCACAGGTGGGAGGACAAAACCTCCTGGGTCCCCACAGATCGTAAATATCAAAGTTTACTTCATGGAGCCTCTTATTTAAGGATTCTTCCTCTGTTCCAGTGGGAGCCCAGGGAGTCCTGCCTGGCTCAGGTGCCTCAGCACCTCTCACAGGGGCAGGAGCAGCTCCCAGGGCCCCTGGAAGGGGACAGGGGCAATGTGCAAATCKGAACTTGAATTTGAATTTTAGGCAGTATTGCAACTTTGCTGCAGTTTGTTTTCACTGATGCATTTATTGGTTCTATGAACCTCGAGCGGAATTAAACTCATTAACCTCCTTCCAGGCTTGGGCTTCTTTTCCTTCTTTTCCTGCTTTTCCCTCCCATTCCCTTCCCAGCAGTGCTGCTGTTTTATGGGCAGTTCTGGATTTGAAGCACAGCTGAGCCATGACTCCAGAGATCCCAGCTCCCAGCTCCAGGTCAGGAGCAGCTCTGGGAGCACCTTGGGTTACACAACGAGCAGGTCCCAGCCAAGCTATGAACACAATAATAAGTTTAATGTACAAAAAAATCCTCACATCTGGGTACAGATGACACATCTGGACACAGCTGGCATATCTGGGCCAGCAGGAAATGCTCTGCAGCCTCTGGATGTTCCTCTCCCTGCTGTGTTGAGGCAGAGGAATCCAGGTCAGGGGTGGATCCAGCGTGGGGTCCCGAGCCCGGGGTGGACAGGGACAGCAGGAACATCCTTGAGGTGCCAAAGGACCCCCCAAAGGGGCCTTACAGAGGAGTCCACATGGGAATGTCCTTCAGGAAGCTCATTCCAAGCTCTCTCAGTGGAAGATGATCTTTTTGTACTTGGAGTTGGGGATCTGCCCTCGTGCCTTGAGCCTCCGGACGGCCTCCCTCATGTGCTTGGGCTGCAGGGGGGGCAGCTCCCCCCACTTCTCACACACGTCCAGTGCTGGACAACAGAGAGGGAGATCATGTCAGGGGACACCCAAGCCCTGCCCCTCCCCTGCTGCAGCTTCAGTGCAGTTTGAAAGGGAATAATGTTTCTGTTTGGGGTTTGCAGCTCAGAGCCAGGAATGAATCTGCTCCCTGAGCTCTTCCCTGGCAGGAGGACAAACAGCTTTGAAACCACTCAGCCACCGTGGAGGTGCTGGATCCAGGGGAGGGATGAGCTCAAAGCCTCTGCTCTGGAGGCCCTGGGGCTGGGTGGGCTCAGGGGCTCTAAATCACCATCCCAGTAGCTCCCAGGGGACAGCTCCCAGCCCCTGTGCCAAACTGATCCCAGCCCCTGTGCCAAACTGATCCCAGCCCCTGTGCCAAACTGATCCCAGCCCCTGTGCCAAACTGATCCCAGCCCCTGTCCCAAACTGATCCCAGCCCCTGTGCCAAACTGATCCCTGTCCCAAACTGATCCCAGCCCAGTCCCAAACTGATCCCGGCCCCTGTCCCAAACTGATCCCAGCCCCGTCCCAAACTGATCCCAGCCCCTGTCCCAAACTGATCCCAGCCCTGTCCCAAACTGATCCCAGCTCCTGTCCCAAACTGATCCCAGCCCCTGTCCCAAACTGATCCCGGCCCCTGTGCCAAACTGATCCCGGCCCCTGTCCCAAACTGATCCCGGCCCCCGTGCCAAACTGATCCCAGCCCCCGTGCCAAAGTGATCCCAGCCCCTGTCCTAAACTGATCCCAGCCCTGTCCCAAATTGATCCCGGCCCCTGTTCCGAAACTGATCCCGGCCCCTGTTCCCAAACTGATCCCAGCCCTGTCCCAAACTTATCCCAGCCCATCCCAAACTGATCCCAGCCCCTGTCCCTAACTGATCCCTGCTCGTCCCATAAAGGAAGAGCGGGGCAGGTTAAGAGGTTTAAGAAACTCCTTTATCCCTGTAGCACTAATGAGATCCTGAGGGTTAAGGAACAGAGCTGCCACTTCAGCAGCAACATCACTGGGATCAGAGGGGCTGTGGCAGCTTCACCGGGCTCTGCTCTGAACCAGAGCTGCTCCAAGGAGTTCATTTAGCCCCTGTACCCCACTTGTCACCCAGCAGGTGCCACTCACCTTCCTCCACCACCTCCCCAACAAACACCTTGGAGATGCCGGACATGGCGATGACGACGTTCTGGGACACGGAGGTGCCGGTGATGGACTGGATGAGCTGTGACAGGGACAGACAGGGACAGTCAGAGCCCCAAGTGCTCTAACTCGTAACATCTCAGCCCCACCCAGCTCCTCGCGGGTGCTCAGGGCCGGTGGAGGGATTTGAGCTGCAGCACGCTGGAATCCAGCAGGATCAGCTGTCCTGGGACAATGGGCTGAACCACGGGGCTGGCACAGCTCCGGGAGGGTCCGGGGAGCCCCCAGAACCCCCTGCTCGGGCTCTTCCTGCCCYTCTCGTACCCGTTTGATGGCGGCTTTGGGGAAGGCGGAGCGACGATACATCTCGTAGCGGTTCAGCTGCTCCTCGGAAAAGGAGGAGACCAAGATCCTGCGGGGGAGAGAACGATCATTTACAGCCGCGGTACCACCCAGGGCCGCAGAGACGGGAGCGCTGGGTGCGAAAGGGAATCTGGGGGAACGGCGAGCTCGGCACGGGGGACACGATTGCCGCACTCCCCGGCCCCGCCGCCGGGACACTCACTGCATCTTCTGGATCTCGTCCTCGTCCACTTTCTGCTTCTTCTCCTTCCGCTCCTTCAGCTCCAGCTTCACCTTCCTGGCCGCGCACGGCTGCAGCCCCGGGTCCTCCGCGTCCGCCGCCTCCCCCTCCGCGCTCCTCACCTGGGCGAGAGGGCAGCGCTCGTTCTGCGGCCCCGCGGCCCGGCCCGGCCCCGCTCCCGCTCCCGCCTCACCTCCCCGTCCGCCACCTCCGCYTTCAGCTCGCCGCCACCGCCGGCCTCCCCCACCTCGCCCTCGCCCGCTTCCTCCGCAGCTGCCGCTTCCCCCGCGGCCGCCGTCCCATCGCCCGCGGCGGGCGGGGATGAGCGTGAGGGCGGCGGCTCCGGGACAGCGGCGGCACCGAGCACGTCCCGGGCCGGATCCGCCATGGCCGCGCCCGCGGCGCYTCCTGATGACGAAACACTACGGGCGCTGCGAGGGGGCGGAGCCTATCGCCACGGGGATGCTGACGCTGGCGTCTCGTGATGACGCGCTTGAACGGCGACGTGGAGTCCGTAGTCATGGCAACGGAGATGCGACGGCACTTCCTGATGAGGAAATAATTAGTGTCACCACCCCGTGACACTGTTACCGGGGGGTGGTGCCTGTCGCCATGGCAACAGCGACTCGGCAGCGCATCCTGATGACGCCCTACACGGGCGCCGCGATGGGGACGGACCATCGTTGTCGCCATGYCAACGGCGCTGCAACGGCGCCTCCTGATGACGCGCAGCTACGGGAGCCGCGAGGGGATGCGCGGGGCTGGGCCTGTCGCCATGGMAACGGGGCTATGGCGGGGGGGGGTCTCTGCGGCGCTCAGCGCTGGGCCCTGTGCGTTCGGACCGACCCAGCCCGCTCTAAGCCGCTATTTCACAGTCGGCCCCTCCTGTGGGGCAGAGATCCCGGCACGAAGCTAGAGCGCGCCCCGCAGGGGGAAAACTCCCCAGGCCCGCCCAAAACGAGCGCGGCTGAGGGAGCACGGGCAGCGCTCGGGGGCGGGGCCTACGCTAAACCCCGCCCATGCTCCGCCCACCCCTCAGACCCCGCCCCAAGCCCCGCCCCGCCGGCTCTGCCCCCTCAGGCCCCGCCCCCTCCCCCGCCACGGCCCCGCCCCGGAAGTCGCGCGGGCGCCCGGGCCGCGCCGGCCATGGGGAAGGAGCAGGAGCTGCTGGAGGCCGCTCGCACCGGGAACCTCCCGGCCGTGGAGAAGCTGCTCTCGGGGAAGCGCCTCAGCTCCGGCTTCGGCGGCTCCGGCGGTGGTGGCGGCAGCGGCGGCGGCTCCGCGGGGAGCGGCGGCGGCGGGAGCGGCGGGAGCGTCGGTGTGGGGCACCCGCTGTCCAGCCTGCTCAGGTGAGCGCGGCCCCGGGGGCGGGGACCGAGGGATGTGGGATGAGAGGGGGGCTGTGCGCGGACCGGGGAGTTGGTTGTGGGGCTGCGGGGCTGGAAAGGAGCGGGGAGCTGTGGGTCGCGGGGATGGGGCTGTGGGCTGCAGGGCAGCGGGGCTGGGAAGCAGCGGTAGAGGTTGGATGTGCTTGTGAAGTGCAGCGTGAGGGCGAGAGGGCTGTGGGACAAAGGGATGCCGGAGGTCCCTGGGGCTGCAGTGCTGCGGGGGAGGCCGGGGGTCTGTCCCCGGAATGTCCCCCGTGGGTGTGGGCCGGAGCTGTGACCTGGGCACCGCTGAGAGTTTGGTGGGACCAGGGCAGCGAGGGGGCTGTGGCGGAGCTCCTCGGGTTGTTGTACCCTCGGTGGGCTTGGAGAGGAGTGGGGGAGTGACTTTTTGGCTGTCTGGAGCGGGCACTGCCAGGGCTGGGTGCTGCTCTCGGTGGCCTGTCCCCCTGGCATCAAATCGCTGCTGTGTGGATTCTGCGGACTGGTGTAACAGGGAAGTTGTGGTGTGTCTGGAGGACTCCGGGTTTGGGGAGAGCTGCTGGATGACTTTCCYGGGGCAGGTGTACAGCCGGGTGTCGGGGGATTTGTCCGGGCCCTGCTCTGTCATCATCGCGGCTGGCTGTGACATTGTTGCCCGGCTCGTCCCCGTGCTGTGGAATTTGCTGGTTTGAAGCTCTTGGACTTTTGTTAGKTTTTTTTCTCCTTCCTTTTCTCGGCATCACCTCTCACTGCTGCGCTTCTGGAGCTGCAGCTTTGAGCCACTTTGGCCTCTGCTGGGAATGCGGCTGTTCCTRGTCCCTGAGCAATTGGTTTGTACTGGGATGTGTGGAGGAGATTCATGTCCAGTACCAGGTGACACTGCTGCTACACGACCTGACTATTCAGAGGGATGTGACTCGGCYGTTTTTGGCTGATTTTGATCAGTTTTTCCTTTCACATAGCCYGGTTGGATACCTGCAGGTTGTGCTGGTAGCAGAGGCCTGCAGACATGAGAGAGCTCACCCTGCCCTGGGGCACACATTTGCCTCTCTGAAACGTAAATCTACCCTTGGGTCGAGCTTTGTTCTTCTCTTTTGATACATTAAACAGTCTGAGCCCTGGTTTGAGTGGGATGGATGTGCCCACAGGGGGCTTAGATCAGCACAGAGGGTCGATGCAGTTGAACACCCTGTGAGCTGAACCAGATCTGCCACTGCCTCACAGCACCCGGGCACGACAGTGCCTTTTCCCTGCCTCCCCCAGTGCCCATGGTGCCATGGTCCTGCAGTGGTGCCAGAGTGGGCCAGGCCATCCCTTTGATTCTGACCTGTTGAATTTCTCACATGTGAACATGGCTTCATGCACAGACACRTGTCTGAAGGACTGTGACTGTCACAGCTGTCACTCATTCTGTGTTCACTCTGTGGCTGTTGGATGTACATCAATGATAGTGGAACAGATCCTTTCCCCTGTCCAAGTCTCAGCTCCTGAACCTGTTTCTCCCGGTACAGCTGGGATTTGTGACACCAGTTCCTGGTCTATCTGSACATTATAGGGTATGGCAGCATGTCTTGTGTGCCACCTGCTGCCCTTTAAGGGCTTTGTGACTGTTTCCCACCTCCTGACCACTTGTTGGGCTTTGGCTCTGTGTTTCAAGACTCCTCCAGGTGAGGAGCTTGTGATGAGGTTTTGCTGAGAAGCAGCTGCTGAGTGTCCCTGCAAGGAGAAGCCAGAGGGAGCTGGGGACAGGCTGTAGGGACCAGACAGATGAATTTTAGGGTGGAGGAAACATCACATTTTCCCGTGCTGGAAAGTGGCAACTTTTCTAATGCAGGATTTTGCCCTCCTTGATTGTGGGGAGAAGCCTGCCCCTCAGTCAGATCTGTGTTCTCCATATTTTCCCTTCCTTGGGCAGCCCCTGGTTCTGCTCAGACTGATTCCTGGTCCTGCCAAGGCTCTTCATGTCTGTAAGGATCTCTTCTAACACAGGAGCTGCTGAGCTGCCCTCCACCCCCAGAGCTCATTCCCAGAGCAGGGTCATAAATGCTCTGCTGGGCTGGCAGGACACCTTTGTTCTTTTCTCCACTCGATTTCAGGTCCCTGTTTTAGTTCCAATTTTACTTCTTTTGTTAGTCCCACCTTTAGAGAATCTGTTCCCAAAGCTCATCTCCTGAGGTGCCTGTCCCAGCTTTTTCTGGCTGTTCTGCAGCGTTTCAGGTGTCTCTAAGATACCTTTTGGATTGGATACAAACCAGGCATTCCCTGGAATTCCCACATTACACCTGGTATGTCTGAGCTGGCACCTGCTCTGAGCTGGCACTCATAGGTTTGGGCCATTTCTCTTCCAAAAAGACCAAGTGTTGCTCCATGAAGTGGTAGAAGATGCCCCTGGCGGTAAATTCCTTGGAATGTGTTGTTTTATCAGGTAACCTGAGCTGCCACCGTGTCTGTTATCAGTTAAATGTGAACTTTGTCACAGTCTGGGCTGTGTTGCTCCTGCTGGGGCCGAGCAGGTCCCGCTGGGTGTGGAGCCATGTGCAGACTCCWATCACCTATGGCTGCAGGTGAGCAGGAAACAGGATGGGATGGAGCAGGATAAGCCACAGGAGGAGGAACTTCAAAGAGAATTAGTCTCTCTCGAGGGGTGATTGTGCCAGGGCGTAACACTTAGGGCATTGGGCAGAAGAATAAACCCCAGTGGGAAGCTGATGGAAATTGGGAATGCTGGCAGCGGGCTGGGGGAATGAAGAAGGATGCAKGAGGGGGGAAACGGGAGTGTGGATTTGCCAGAGCAGATGGTGGGCTCACAAAGAGGTGGTGGCTGCCAGAGTTTGGGAGGCTGGGCTCCCTGCTGGCGTCCACACAGCCCCTGGGATCTGCCAGGGCCTGGGGAGCTGCTGGAGGCCTGGCCCAGCAGTTGGGAGCAGATCTCAGCTCCTAGGCTGGGCCTGGCTGCTCTGATTCCAGCCATGGATCAYGGCTGAGGCAGAGACATCGTGTGAGGAGCAGAGAGCAGCCAGAGAGAAAACCCACTCTGTGCATGCACAGCTTAAGGCTTATGAGCAACAGCAAGTCGAGAAATCAGAAATGATTTGTGAATCCTTGAGGTTTCTTGGGGTTATGAGCCAATTCTACATCGAGGTTGCAGAATTTGGATTATTGTATTTTTTTTTTTTAGTGATTCACTGTGAAGTTAAAGGCGGGAAACAACGAAACAATCTGTGGCTGAGCTATCAGGCTGCATTCAGGAGGTTTTGCCAGGAGCAATGAGGGATGGGTTGTGTTAAAGCCAAATCTGCAGAAGCAGCTTTTTATTTTCGTCTGTTGCTGTGAAAAGCCTGGGTCTGCGTTGCCAGARGGGGAAACTGAGGCTGCTGCTGAGCCCCAGATGGGATATGCAGTCCTCAGGGAGTGTATCAAGGAGACTCTTCTACTGGGAATGAGGAGATTGGATGCACATCTGTTGTGGGAAGGGTCGAGTGCTGCTCCACAGAAGCCGCTCCCCTTGTTCCAGCCCATTTGCAGCAGTTGCTGCTGGTGAGGGGTGGTTGGTTTAGGGAATGATGTGGTGGGATGGCGGAACGCTTGAAGTGGCTTCCAACAGTCCAAGGGTGGCTAGGAGTCAGAAAAATGAGTTCTTTTTTAAAAAAGTGGGGTTTGGTGTTTGTTCTGGTGTGGCTGATGGTTTACAGCAGGGATCTGTTAGTGCCCTGTGTMCTCCTGGGGGTGAGGCTCTTCCTGCGCCTCTCTGCTGCTGTTCCCTTGGGAAGAGACACAGTGCCGCTGCCAGGGAAGGGGGGAATTCCACTCTCTGAGGTCAGGGTCAGGCACTTGGGGTGTCTGTCCCTCCGTGRGTCCTGCAATATCCAGCAGAGACAGCAGCAGGGAACAGCAGGGAGGCTCCGAGGTCCGGCTTCCAAGGTTGTGCAACGTGGTGCTTCCCTCTCATCCCCTTCCCCATCCCAAGGGAGCTGCTCCTGCTGCATTCCCACGGAACAGGGCAACCTTAGGTCTCTCCCTCATCCTGTTGCTGTGATTAACCATCTCTCCCACTTTAAACCTTTTCTGCACACCCTCCCTTGCACCCAACACACTGGGATAGATCCCTCTTTAATTACACAGCCCAACACAGGGATTGCTGAAAGTGCTTGTGCCACAGGCACAGGTGTGCATCGGCATTCAGCTGGGAATTATTTCCTAAGCACTTCTTAAAGAATTCAAAGGCTGCAGTTACCGGCTGTGACTCTGCAGTGTTTTGTCTCTGTGTGATCTTGTGATGCAGCTTTGGAAAGTTTTATTTGCGTGCTTTGGTCTAGCACAGTTCCGTGTTCAGGGCTGGGTCAGGAGCACCAGGTTCTCCTCGCTCTGGAATCTCRGAGCAGTGGTGTTGGCCCTGCCCTGCTCCACTCACCCAAGCYGGTGGTTTCTACAGCACGTGGGGCGTTCTTGGGCACATGGGACGTTCTTGGGCACATGGGGATCGTTGTGGGTGGGTTCCCTTCCTGTGAAACCCCCTCAGGAGAGCCCTGTCCCGCTCCCTTTCTGACGGGCTGTGGCAGCCCCAGGTTTCCAGGCCGTGTTCTGCTGGGTTTAGTCAACAGAGAACAGGGTTGGAAGTGGAAAGCTCTGCACAGGTAGGTGTTGGGGGAGCTGAACATTCTTCCAGGTTCTGATTTCCATCAGTCTTTATCCACATGTGCTGTGGGACTCGCTCTCTTGGGAATGTCAGTGTGTCGTGTTTGTGTCAGATGGAGGGTGAGAACACAAGCGTAGTTTTTGCCTTGCTTTGAGAGTGCTTTGAAGTGCCARGCTGCTTTTGGAAATATCCATGTGCTTGTACAGGTTACCTCAAATGCTCT